GCATCAAAACTTCTCCACTTTTAGCACCTACTCCTTCCCGTTACTAAGCTGCACTGCACCTGTAGTCCGACAAGTTAATTTTGTAACAAAAATGCTAAAACCACCAAATTTAAAAAATAAATAAATAAAAAATTGCATGGAGAACAATGTAGCTTTAATACATTTGTAAATTATGATATCAACCAAACCAAGTGATGTATAAAATTCTTATGACAAAATATCAACTAAACCATGAAGCACTAAAAACTCATAGATGGTTGGGACATTTTCGAAGTGGGAATCTTGAAAAAACCTGTCTATCCATGTGTTCAAAGTGTCCGATTTTGTATTTGATTTGTGTGTTAACGATTTTTCTATTTGCATATTACTACTCTAGCAAGCTTTCCCATGCCAAATAAGGATAAGATGCATTTTGCTTGTTACTATATATATTTTTTTTTTCCACAAAACATATCCAACTTATAAATCACGATTTCACATGCATTGCCTTGGATTTGAAACACAATTCAAGTACTCTCTGTCTAAATTACACATTAAAACATTACAAGCATCATGGAACAGAACATCTATTTCATAGAGAACACTACTAGATGGGACTAAAGCAGCAAGAAAAGATGTTACCTGCAGCATTAGCAGGCCGCCGCATAAAAAAGTTGGCCAAGGTAGACAAGGTGCCAAGATAGAACCATAAGTGTGAGTACGTTGAGAAAGGAAGAATAGGTATTTAGTTTCTTCAGCCTCGCGTTAAGTACCACAACTGGAGACTTCACTACTTCTTGCTCTGCTCTTTCTGGCATTCTAGTCATGCTAGGTGGAGTTGAGGTGATGTCTGCACCAAGGGCAGGTGTTGCTGTAGGCTCCACAACACAGTCTGCTGCTTTGCTGCTAGTGTCGGTGTTTAAACTGACTCGCCCTTCTTCCTTCTTGATCTTCATCCTCTCGATCATCACCTTCATATGATACAATTTTTTAAACAAGCTTCAAATGTATTGAACTTGTCTGCAATTTCTTACATGTACAAGAAACTTGAAATTGTTTTTTGAAAAATTGAAAAAGTTTTTTGTAGTTCTATAAATTTTAAAAGAAGGAACAAAGTTTCTAAATATGTGAAGGGGGAAAAATGAAGCCAAGTGTTGTTTAAAACTTTAGGGAGAACTAGAGTAATTATATTAAACTTGTGAGATTTATTATATTTTATTTAAACTTGAAGGGAGACGAGTGTAATTTACCCTATTCTTTATTATCTAAAATGGTTTCAAATGTTAAAAAAAAATGTTGCTAAGTAACTTTATAATTGGGTTAAAACAAAAAACTAAGGTAAAATTTGTAAATTTAAAAGGGAAAGTAATATTTCAGTGTTATGTTAAAAAATAATATCAATTTGATGAAAAGTTTATTATGTTATCTTTTAATCTTGCAAAGCTTTTCATTTATACATTTTTTTTCCCTAACTAATTAAAAATGAATGATCATGAAATCATTAATTCAAAAAATATGCATACTCTCCCCTAGATGCTTGCTCCACCATAAATCCAAAGTTTTATTTTTTATTTTTTCCCTTTCCTTTGTTTCTGAGAGAGAGAGAGAGGAGTGTTTGAGTGTAAGAATTTCCTTACAAAATGTTTGTGTGTCGCGTATGGGGGGCACAAACATGCTTATATACCCTCTGCGCCCCATATCCACTCCCAGTCTTCTCCTGACACGTGGCTCTACTATCCCATCTGTCAGCATAAACCTTGCTGATCATCACCTAATCTCAACTGCCTGCCTTCTCAGCTGGAGCTCGGCAGCCGAGCTGCTCTATCCACGGCCGTGCTGTGCTTCATACCCAAGCACCTCACTGGCCAAGCCCAAGGAGGACCGGGCTAGGCGGCATCTCGGCAAAGCCTAGCCCGGGCACCTCCTGTGGTCGGCCTTCCTGCCGATCAAACGATTATCTCGGCTGACCACACCTTTCCGAGCGCCGGTCACTTAGCTTGATTGGCTCTACCATCGCCTGATCAAGCAGCTCGGTCCAACCGAGCACTGCCTCGCCGAGCAGCTTCTTCACGGTCTTGAGCGGCACACTCTCGGCCCAACTTCTGCCCGGCCCAAGTCCTGGCAGCCCATCTATGGGCGAATCGCCGGTCATCTCGGCCCCATGCCTCATTAGGCTCTCAACCTGCTCGGCCGTTACCTCGGCCCAATTCCAGATCATAAATCTCCCTCTCAGTAACTTTATAATTGGGTTAAAACAAAAAACTAAGGTAAAATTTGTAAATTTAAAAGGGAAAATAATATTTCAGTGTTATGTTAAAAAATAATATCAATTTGATGAAAAAGTTTATTATGTTATCTTTTAATCTTGCAAAGCTTTTCATTTATACATATTTTTTCCCTAACTAATTAAAAATGAATGATCATGAAATCATTAATTCAAAAAATATGCATACTCTCCCCTAGATGCTTGCTCCACCATAAATCCAAAGTTTTATTTTTTATTTTTATACTTTCCTTTATTTCTTTATTTTTTTTAAAATCTTTTTTGGATAAGATATTTGGCCTAGTTTGTGCAACTAATTCTCAAAGTTATTCAACGAGGGTTTTGGCTTTAGAACATTTTAAAACCTAGTTTAGAGTTGAGCAAATTCAAAGGAAGAGTTTCTTTTGGAAAATGTCTCGTAACTCAAATTTTGTGGCTCAAAAGTGGCTCAAATGGCGTTGTTCTGTACTCAAAACGACGTCGTTTTGGCCATTTGAGCCACTTTTGAGCCACAAAATTTGAGTTACGTAGCATTGTCGGTTTCTTTTTTTGATACATCCTTCCCATTAGTTTTTTTTTTTTTTTTTTTCAGACATGAATTTGTGTACCTCCTCCCGTGGAGTCCAATTGACACTATGCTGAAATGGTTAAATATAAGGATAAATCAAATGAAATATATATTTCAGTGGTCATCCATATAATTAATCAATTATTGAAAAATAAGTTTGAATTAAAATTTAAAATAAAAATTAATATAATTATATTAAACTTGTGAGATTCAAAATTAACTTGAAATAAAATAATAATAATAACGAATTGTCAACAGGAAAATTCACTAATCATCGGAATTTTTTTTTTTTTTGTGTGTGTATGTGTGTGTGTTTAAATTTTAGAAAATGTTTGGTGGCCACAAATTCTGTGATTCAAATGGCCCGAAAATATCAAAACGACATCGTTTTGACATTTTTAGAATTATTTTGTATCCAAAACGATGTCGTTTTAACATTTTCAAACCATTTAAGTCACAAAATTTGTGACCACCAATCATTACCCTTAAATTTTAAACTCTACACCTCGTCTATACTTCCCATACTAATTATTATTGTTATCCATAAATGACACTGGATGACGCATTGAATATTGGTGGCCCTAACCTCCAGTGGGTCATAGACCCTGGGACTAGATTAGTACTCCCCCGGCAAAAAAAAAAAAAAAAAAATTAGCGTTTGGTTGAAGAAAATGTGATGAGACTATAATACTGAGGTGGATTGTTAATTTAAGCCCAGAAGATTGGAGGGGAAAAAAATATTTTGCCCCCGTTTATGATAAGAACTTTTATATAATTTTGTAAATGTAATCTTAATTAACATCATAATACTGATACATAAATAAATATAGTTTATTTTTCATATTTTGGAAAGATAGCTTCCAGCTTTTAATCCATTTTAAGTCACATTACATCTCACACATTTTTTATACATTTAAAAAAAAAAAAAACTCAACTTTTAACCATCGTTCCAAAACAACCCTTAATATTGTTACACTAATAATCCTATTACTCAATATTTTTGTACTCATAACTCTATCAATTTTTTTTTTTATTATTTATAATTCCACTTAACCTAATCCCAGCCTAATCAAAGTTTTATGACTTATTCATAAAAAATAAATAAAAATAAAAAAATAAAAAAACTTAACCATAGAATCAAACATAAATCTTGAAGACATAATTACTTTGAAGAATGTTATGTTGACATGATCCTATGTAATTATTCGTAAGCCTCTTATCTATTGGTTTAATTACACACAAAAAAAGAAAAATTGAGATGAATGCCCACACCATTAATTGCTACATATATATAGAGTTTCCTACAATCAAATAAAACGTTTTGTCAAATGTAGTCATAATATCTCCTTTGATCCATATTTTACCCATTCTATTTGAGTTTTGTAATTCATCCATGTGGGCTTATTTTTGAGTTTTGTTGTTAAAAAGATGACACCTATTGATTTGTCATTACCTAGATTTGATTAATTGAAAAAGACAACTTGTAACAAGAAACATCAACTCGGCCTTGTCATCGTGGCCTTGTTTTCCTCTAAAGCAACATTCTACACTTACAAAAAGTATGCTAAAAATATTTTAAAAATAAAATATAAAAATAAAATTTATTTTAAATATGATTTATATTATATTAAATTAGATCTATAATATGGGTAAGTTATTTAGAATTCACAAAACCTATATACCTTAAAAGATTATTCTAAAATTTAAGGATGACAATTTTTTTATGCTTTGCTCTACCCATTCATCTCTTGCCCTGCGTAGATTTTTTCGACCCCTACGAAGAAATGAGATAGATATGGGTTTTGCTCTCTTGTCTTGATTTTATTTATTAAATATATATATATATGTATTATATACAATTCCTTTTTTTATGAGTTTTTCTATTCTTAAATTGATTTAATTTGTTCTATTCCCTATTTGATACGAGGCGAGAGTAGAAGATGACAAACCTGTCCCGTTGCCATTCCAAAACTTACTCCAAAAGTGACACGTATGATGCAAATTAAAAATAGTGAAATATAAATTATACTCGCAAATTACAATGAATGTAGTCCATTAATTTAGTTTTATGAGTAATTTTTTTGAATGAGTATTATTTTTGAACGGAGAGGGTAAATCTGTAATATGATGGGTGGTCCGTAAGGAATTCCATATCCTCTGTCATGATTCTCTGCAATGCTTTCTGCTGTGCGGTGGTCTAAAATGACTTCGTTTTTTTTTGGTGTCCCTTTGCCCCATTTTCATTTCTCTCTCATTTGTTAAACGCTACCTCGCCAATACAAAGATAGGCGAACAGAGGGAGGCCAGGGCAAAATGACGGAGGTTGATGGCGATGGCGGCTAGTTGGTGAGGCGGTGGCGGCTAATCGGCAAGGCTGAGGTTGTGACGAGGGGCGATGGCGGCTAGTCGGCGAGGCTGCGGCTGTGACGCGAGGCAATGGCGAGGTTCTTCAATCTTCATTCTCACCTAATCTCTACTAATTGATGCTTCAATTTCTATTTCTCATTTGTATACATATTTCTCCAATTGTCAAATTCACAGTCAATCTCAACTCCACCACTTATGATGATCAAGATGTTCCCAGCCGTCCCATGATGACAAATGAAGGGTCATCAATGAGATGGACTTCTTCGCCGACGATGAACACCACCACTCCAAGGCGACAGCCTCCACAGGCGATGAAAAGGACTTGCCTGGACCTGCCCAATTGGATTTCAATGTCAAGTAAGTTACCCGTTTCAATTCTTCTATTTTTTTTGTTCATTATATATATCAAATTTCTTTTTATATGTTTTTTTGAGATTAATTACATTTGTAGTCTATGTTATTTGAGTCAAATATTAATTTTGTGGATCCTTACACTTTAAAGTTTTTTTTAAGTTGGTGTTTATGTTCAAGTTAGAAGCTAAAATCAGTAATTTTGGAGTATTTGTAAAAAAATTAACGAAAATTTAACCCCAAAGTTTGGGAATTTCAGGAGTCCTGTGACTAGCTTTGTTAGTCCCAAGCATGGTACTCGATTCTTCCATTTGGGGCTTCAAGTTCATCCTCCAATGGGATAGATTACAGATTCACTTGCTTGTCTTCCAACAAGAGACCTCTATCTTCTGAAATTTGTCTTTTCAAAAAATTGTTTAGTTCTAATTCAAGATTGTGCACTTTACTAAGTTGAGAATGGTCTCCTCAGGCTGTAAGTTTTGGAGGAACAAATATTGATCCGATGGCATGGGAGCACAAAAAAACCTCGGGAATCCCGTTTCCCTGCTCTGGTATGTTAAGTGGACTTTAATGAATTGTAACATTTCTACCATTTTCGCCTTATAATAACAAAAAATTCTCCTGTATATTTATGCACCTAATTGACAAATAAAGTTGTTATGTAAGGTTGCTAAACCTATGTTTATGTTTAAATGTTTTACGAAGAGTAATATTTCTTTATATTTTTTCAGTGTTTTTTATCAAAAATCAAAAAATGCTACAGACTCTACAAATTTCAACATGATGCGTATAAATTACAACTACATTTTGATACTAACATAGTTTACACCGTGCCTTTAGGCGGTTCAATTTCTCCATTTGTCATATTCATGCACAAATGAACTTCTTAAAGTAGGTTGTTAACTACATTATTAAACCTCATTTTGCCTTCTTACAGTTATCTTTGTCTAATTTACATAACCAGACACTTTCAGGTTGAGACACTATTGACCTTCAACCTCTAATTATGGACAGTATTATCATTTTTGGTCACGTAAGTTGTTTTCTTTTTAATTTATTTGAACAAAAAAACAAAATACACCTTTCTTATAAGTTGAAGTCAATTTTCTTTTCTTTTCATTATTTTTTATCTAATTTCCTGATAACAAAATGCTCTTTTCTGATGGATGGAGACCTATGTCAAACTGTAAAATTGACTCTTTTTACTCATTTTCTTACATGCATACATTTTAAATTTTTTTTTACCTCTATTTCTTTTGTATTTATAGTTTCAATTTTTTCAAGAAAGAAATGCTAAGAGTGTTTTGATATTTATATAGATTTTCTTCTACTAATATACTAACTTTTTTATTTTCATAAATTACTAGATTGTTGTGCATGCTCCTCATTGGAGATACATAGAAGTTGATACAAAGACTTTTTGGAAAGTGATGAGGCGCTCCTACGAATTCTAAGAAAGAACAAGTTTGAAACTCATATTTATTTTTTGTGAAAAGAGTACATATGCTAGCTACGATCTAGATTTTGTAAAGTTTCCTATCAATGTGAATTTTAGTTTTGTAAAGCCTTTTATCCATGTGCAATTTATAACTAAGTTTAGATGTATGTTATATAATATTCATTTGAATTATTCACTCGGTCATATAGTCTTTTTTCTTTTTTCTTCCTAATATGCTCTTGAATTAGCAATCATATTTTTTTTTTGTTGAATTTGAATTTTTGCTTTCTTATATATTTTTAGCAAGAAGGGTGTTACTTTTAATATAGGATTGGATTGTGTACGTATTAATCTTTTAAAATAATTGTTCATTTCACAATTTTTATCATTTTTTTTTTGAATTGCAAAGCACGGTTGGTGTGCTTTATTTATTTGTTATTTTTTTTTATTGTGGAGCATTGATTGACGTGCTTAATTTGTTATATGTCCTTTTTCTTTTGTATTGTAGAATATTGGTTGATGTGCTTAATTTGTTATTTGGCATTTTCTTTGTATTGCAGAGCACGAACTGGTGTGCTTAATTTATTTATTTATTTATTTATTTTTTCTATTGCAAAGCATTGGTTGGCGTATTTCGTCTAATTTTTATTATATGTTTCTGTGTTGTGAGACTTACATTTTATTGTTTGTTTAAAATCTTAAAATTATTCCAATTACATTTTCATTTCAATAATAGTTTCACCGTGCCTTTAGGCACGGGTATACCCTAGTATATATATAAGAAAGAAAGAAAGAAAATAAAAAATCGCCGGTTCGACCGCCGGGTCTCCCGGTTTTCCATTTCTAGGCCGGTTTTCCTCTTACTCCAGTTCTAGGGGATTGACCGAACCGGAACAAGGCCCGGTTCCCGGTTCGACCGGCCGGCCCGGTCCGGGTTTCACAACATTGACGTGTTGTATTCCCAGAAAACTATCCAAAGAAAATAACCGTTGGTGGTGCTATTGTTCCGAACCTTGCCGAAAGTGAGACCGAATTATACCATTGGAAGAAACTTTATAAAATATTTTTCGATTCAAATTGTGTCTCCAAATTAGCACCATCTTGTTCTTCTCAAAATTTTGATCACAACGGAGAAATTCATTGTGAAAGATGGAGAAAATTTCATCCACAAAATCCAACTTACAGTGTGTGGTCTCTTACCCCCACCAGAGAAGATAACCGGAGCAAAAGAGCCATTACATCTTCTAATTTAAAAGACCAAACAATTGGGCTAAAGCCAAAAGAGCCAAAAATTAGAAAAACTGCAAGGAAATCAGTGGCTTTGGGCTTAATTATTAAAAAAAAACAGATTGGGCCAAATCTATTTGCAGCCTAATCCAGTTCCAACAAGGCGCAGCCCAACAACCCTGAGCCGCAGGTCGAGCCAAGCAGCCCAAAGCCATAGGCGCGGCCCAGCACATCAATACAGTCAGCCCAACATGCAAACCTAGCGACACGGTCGGCCCAACACACTAACCAGCGTGCCAGCCCAAACACGCGCGACCCACGCCCGACTGCCCAACGCACTGACCAGCGATTCAGCCCAGATTCGCGCCCTTCTGCTTATCGCCCAGATTCGCGCTCTAACCCGCCTCTTGATCCACCGGTTCAGCCCAGCCCTTGAACCGACAGCAGCCTAGTCCAAGCAGTTTTTTTGCTCATTTTCACTCATTTCAAGGCCGTTTTCAATCATTCAAAAGCCAGAATTTTTCTAAGAATTTTTCTATGGGTTCTTGTACTACATTTTCAAAAGAATTTTTTTGAAGAGGAGGCTATCCAAGGGTGTTACCAAGGAAAACATCCAAAGAAACATTGCTAAAAGGCACCGTCGTGTCCTTTGGGCTCGTAACTATTATTACAATACTCATAAGCAAAGTATTGGATTTAAAAGGCTATTGGGTTTTCATAATTCTTCTTACCCAAGACAAAACAACCGATTTTTTGCTTACTGTAGGAGCCGACTCAACAACTTCAAGACTTATCCTTATTAAGACTTGTTGTTGACTTATTTACTTTGCTTATTTGTTTATTTTAGTTTGTATTATCCACATTTGAATTTTTATTGTAACACATTTTTGTTTTTAGTATGGCTATTAAAAATGCCATGGAAATAATTTTCGAGCATGGAAGTACCGCATTTCTTATCTTCTTACACATGAGAAAACATTGCACACTTTATCCACTTCTAAACCAGATGATGATTCTAATTGGTTTCAAAATAAATGGATAGAAGATGATGCAATGGCAAAGGCCACTATGTTACATAATATGAAAGACAACATTATTCCGCTTTTTGAAGAACATGAAACTGCAAAACAATTAATGGAAGCACTAGAAAGTAAGTATGGAGTTCGATTGGAGACTCAAATTCAATTGCTCTTGGACAAATATAATAACACTCGTATGAGTGATAATGATAGTGTTGGTGATGATGTTAATCAAATGGAATTAATTGCTAAAGAATTATCCAACACTGATCACCCTTTGTCGAACAAGATGCAAGTAACTACCATACGTAATAGTCTTCCATTATCTTGGGATCATGTTGTTACATCTTTAACTTATAGCCGCCGAGAGATTTCAATGATGACATTGCATGTACTCTTAGTGTTAGAAAAAGAAAGAATGAAGCGAAGGCGTAAAGAAGGTTTGTCTTCTAACTTGTTGATGGCACAGTCTTCGTCATAAGCACAGAATAATTTCCATACACCATTCAACAAGAAAAAGACAACTTCATTCAAGAGAAAATGGAAGAAGGGGTTTCAGAAAAGGATGGAAGAAACAGCAAGAATGGCAAAAACAACAACATCACAAGCATCAGATTGGCCCATGTTGCAAGTGCAATCAAAAGGTCATATCAAAGCCACTTGTCTTCAGAAGCAGAAAAGGATCATAATCCTATTGCCATGATAGTTTCTAAACCAATGGTGCTTGAACCTTCATCAAATTCTTGGTAGATTGATTCTGCTGCAACTAGGTATATTGTGCAAAATAAAGACATGTTCGTAGAGTTTACTGAAAAGAAGGTTGGTGAACACAGAATCTACATGGGCAACAACTCCCATAATGATGTTTTGGGCATCGGCAACTGTTAATTCTCTATTAATGGAACTTCCATTGTGCTTCATGATGTGCTTTATGTACCCAGCATTTGTCGAAATTTAATTTCATTTCTGGTGTTAACTCAAAAGGGTTTTGAGATTAATTTTAGGTTTAACACAGTATTGATTAAGAAAGGAAGTGTATTAGTGAAAACTGTAAGGGTGAATGACATGTACTCTCTTCCTATTGATAATAACAAAGTATGTATTTCTGATATTTTACATGTTTTTACTAGTAATAGTTCTTATCTGTGGCATTTAAGATTATGTCACATTAATAAAAATAAAATGTCTTGAATGTTTAAAAGTGGCTTATTGCCTAAAGTATGTTCCGATGATTTGATATATGTGAGCCATGTATCAAAGGCAAAATGACTAGCAAGCCATTTGTCAAACATTGCAAATCATCGAAATTACTCGAAATAATTCATTTGGACATTTGTGGCCCTTTAAGAATTAAAACTCATCGCAACAGGGAATACTTTATTACTTTCACTGATGATTATTCAAGATATGGACATATCTACCATCTTAAACACAAATCAGAGGCAATTGACAAGTTTAAGGAATATAAATTAGAGGTAGAAAAGCAACTTGGTCGGCCTATTAAACCCTTGAATAATGATAGAGGTGGCGAATATGAAGCTATGGATTCTTTCTGCAAGGACAATGGCATTAAACATTTGTTTACAATGGCATTAAACATTTGAGGGAAGCTTTGTTCACCGATGCGTACGTATTAAATAGAGTCAAAACGAAAGCAAAACCTCTAACTCCTTACGAATGCTGGAATTGTACTAAACCTAATGTTCAAAATCTCAAAGTTTGGGGATGTAAAACACATGAACTTATTCCCAAACCTTTAAGAGATAAATTGGAAAGTAAAACTTGGGAATGCAAGTTTATTGGCTATGTTGAAAATGGGAGTGGTTATCGTTTTTACCATCCCGAACGTGGTTTAATAGAAAATCGAGATGCTATTTTTCTTGAATCCACTGATCTTGTTACTCCTATTAAACAAATTGAATTGCTCTCCGAAGTATCTCCGGATTCTTCTCTTCATTTTTTGTCACCAGCACCACCAGTTCTCCATGAACCACCTAATAGTGAGAGGAAACGATAGCTACATGATGTTGTGTTACTTGCTTCGAATCTTGAGATAAGTGGGAGTAAGAAAGCAAGACGTCCATTTACGTTTTTGAAAGATCATTATGTTTTTCAAGTTGAAGAACTTAATAACTTAGTAGATGATCCTACTAGTTATAATGAAGCAATGAGTAGCAGTGATGCTAAATAATGGCTTGAAGCAATGAATGAGGAACTTGACTCGATCAAGAAAAATGATGTTTGGGAATTAACCAATCTCCCGAATGGAAGAAAAGCTATTGGTTGCAAATGGGTTCTTAGAAAGAAATTCAAAGTAGATGGAAGTTTGGAGAAATACAAGGCCAGGTTAGTAGCTAAGGGATTCACTCAACAACTTGGAATAGATTTTGTAGATACATATTCTCCAGTTACAAAATTTGCCTCAATAAGGATTCTAATGGCGGTAATAGCCAGGATGGAATTGGAATTGCATCAATTAGATGTTAAAATAGCTTTTCTCAATGGAGAATTAAAAGAGGAAATTTATATGATGCAACCTGATGGTTTCCAGAACCAAGGCAACGAGGATAAAGTCTACAAGTTGAAGAAATCTCTGTATGGACTTAAACAATCTTCAAGACTGTCACGCCCCATTTTTTATTACTCGAAGTATTACCAATTTCATTTACTTAATTCCATTTCAGAGATAACATGCGGAAATAAACTCGTATATTCAACTCATAGAAGTGAATAACATTGGTCTCATTCATATGCAAATAAATACAACATGAGTATAATAAATAAATTGCCCTTGGGCTTACATCATTAACAAATCAAGAAGAAGGGTACAACCCTTTTACACATGGCATTCCGCCAATACAAGGGAGGCCCCGTGGCGAA